CCGGCCATGACCCAGCGGTCGGGGCTGGTGGTTTTTCTTAACCAGCAGAAAAAGTGGGAAAAGGGACTTTCGAACACGTTTCTGCTCAGTGTTTTGAGGTGGTTTTTTTTTTTTTCATTTTCTTTTTCCTCCTATTTTGTCCATGCTATGTCAGAACGGGGGCAGTAGCTGGAAGTAAAAACAACGATTCAAAAGGAAGAAGTTACGTTAGCAGGATTAGGAAGTTAAGTTATCAGCATTAGATGCAAACGGTAGAGAACTGATACATGGTATCCGTCACAAACCTCTGTTTTGAACCCAGATTTACAAACCCTGTGGGGAAGGAAGTGTATTATATTTGACTTTCTGTACTGCTTGTGTCAGTTGTAGTACAAAAAATCTGTATTTGTGTCCACTGGCCATGTCTACATGCAGAAACCTAAAAGTTTCTGGTACATGTAACAGTTGCCTTTGCTAGCTGTGATAGTAGTGCAGGATAACCTCCATTTATAAGTTCTTTTGGTTACTAAGTGTCTGTTGCTGTGTGAAGAAATACTTCAGGCACTTAGATGGTTTAAACTTTTGTCTCTTAAAAATAAGACACCTAATACCTAATTAGCCTAGTTTACCTAATACGTCCTTCAATACCTAATTTTGTTTAAAAAAATGAAATTTATTGAAATAGGACACTCTTCATATTTTATCATGCTTTGCTACTTGACAGACTGTCTAAATAATAACATAAGTGTAAGTCGTGGTTTGAAGTTTCAGTGATGAAAGGCTGTCTAGGCAGTGTTGCGGTAATGTTGTATTGCTCCACTGAACTGGATGATACAGAGGGCAGCTTTGCCTGTACTTATTTGATGACTCAGGATCTTCTCTCACATCTTGGCACAGTATTTGTTATCCACTGTTCTTGCACCTTAATTTTTTGAGGTTAATGATTATTTCATAGGTCTTTAAAATATGATTTGACAAATACTTGCATACAAAGTACTTTTGAGAAACATTGAGGGGTTAGAGAAAGTTTCAGTTCTATAATGATAGATCCCAAATTGGCAGTAACTGGTTAATAAAACCAGATTAAAAGATATCTTGGGTTGAATATTTGCTAAGGATTCAGGGTGACCTTTGTAGCCCCCAAAGTTTCCAGAACACTGCTCCGTATGCTTTTGATAGCATTTTTCTCTCTTCTAGTGTTTATCACCTTGAAAAATAACAATGACTCTGGAAATCTTGCAGGGGTAACATAGGACAATAGTAACTAATGGTAGAGGTGTCCACGGCCCTAGAGTCCTTTCACGCTAAGGACTTCAACTACCTTTGGCCCTCTTGTGGGTGGAGTGGTATTTGTAGATGTCTCTCCCATGGAGCAAAATCAGACAGGCTCTTCAGTAATTCCCCTGAGGTTATAGCTCTGTGATCAGTTAATTCAGCATAACTCAGCACTGCTGGCTGGGAGAGGTTGTGCTCGTTCTTCTGCCCCAGTAGCTCAGTCTTTAATCTGGAATTGCTGTTTTGTTGAGCAACCAGAAGGTGAAGTCGACCACAGGAACTGATCTAAATGAAAATTAGCCTCTTATTTTCTCCTGATTCTGGGTTAGTTTTCAGTTTCAGTTGTGTGGTCTGATTTAGATTAGTCTTTGGCCCCACAGTGCTGTTGCAAAGAAGTGGGCTGCAGTGAGCGGCCTAGATGAAAGAGAGGGAGATACTGTGATTGTAAAAAGAAGGTTTAGGGTAAATTCCACCTCCTACCTCCAGACTGTTTACAAAGCAACACTGTGTATCTGATTCAGCAAATAGTGTAGATAACCAAAAACCTGGCCGAAAGGGAGGAGAAAGAGTTCTTTTAGTTTGATCAGTTCTGTGAGGTAGCCTACAGCAAAGCCTTGCAACCAGCTGTGCTGGCACAACTGTAGAGGAGATAGAGGGACAGGAATCAGTAGGAAGGAGGAGCGGAGGCAAGGAGACAGGAGTGTTAAGGCCTGCTTTGCTACTGGAAAGACAAACTTAGGAACGTGAGATAACCCTTAAGGAGATAATGGATGAGAGCTAAAAAATTCTGGCCCAACCTATAGGTATAGGGGGAAAAAAGCATTAATAGTATTTAATGAAGAAGTAAACTTGAAATTGAATGAAATCTTTTCATTACAGGAAATTTCAAATTGTTGAATGAAAACTACAGGCTTAAGTTTAACTCTGCCACCTGAGTGTTTGCAAAGTCCGGGGACTACTTTTACAGTAACCTTATTAAACAAACCTGTTGTCCATAGGCACAAAATTGTTAAAGCATCCTCATCTTTGTTAAAAAGCTCGCAGAAGTTCACAGGTTGTGTCTGTTAGTAGTTTCTAGCTCCCCCCACACCCCAGCTTGTATAGCTAAGGTCAAAAATTAAGATTCAGTGAATAGATTAACAATTGTTTTGGATTCGGTTGTCTTCCATTACTTCCTGTCACGAAATTATCATGATGATTAAATGAATAGCGAAAAAACAAACATGAACATAGCACGTGGCCTCTTCTTACTGTAACTGTATGTATCTAGGGAGCCCGTTCCAAGCCTTGGCACAGGACCTTCCCTGCAATACCAACTTTGTTACTTTTCAGAAAACACAGAGGCTATGTTACTTCTCTTTGAAAACACAGAGGCTTCCTCTGAGGTACATGTTGTTAGTGACACTGACGTTTTCTCTACACTTAAAACTGAAGAGTGGTGGGTTTTTTGGATGCATAATAGTTAATTGGATGCATAATAGTAGCTCTTTATTTTGAGGGCGAAAAAACCCTGCTTCTTACAGTCTTTGGATGTGTACCATCTCAAGGGAGCAGTGGTATCGTGCTTTGCAAAGGCTTTTTAAGGTCTTGCAGGCACCCCCAGAAGGAGGCCTGTGGGCAGCCTCTGGGTGTTACTGTATTTTGCCGTCTTCATGGCTTGGAAAGGCACATAGTCTTTAGCATTCCTCCTTACCCTCAAAGTTGCAATTATTTCTTATTATACCTTATAGGATTTCCCACATGGTCTTCTGCGTGTGTTCATTGTGTATTTCAGACCTCAACATTGTATTCCTATCCTTGTCAGTGGAACAAGCTTGACCTTCACCAGTTTGAAAAGTCCTCTTCTGTAACTCGGGCAGTCTGGGCTCCAAACACGTGAGAAGCAGAGGGAAGCACCCTCTTTCTGCCAAACTAGCCAAAGAGTATGGATAGCACAGCTTCCAACAGGAGGCCTGAAAGCAATCATTTAGCGTTCATGAGTAGCTTAATGAACAGGCATTTTCATTTACCTACGTTTTTACATCTTTATGTATCCTTATACTGTTGCTTAAAATACATGTAGGTGTTTTCATGGCAGTGGCAGAAAAGGGGTGGGTGAGTTCTGCTGCTCAACTGGGCGAAAGTTCACAGGCTGCCTCCCACGTGGCAGGGAGCTGCTGTGCCAGCTAGTCAGAAGATGTTTTGTTTGGTTTAAAAACAACTTTGAAATTCTTACGGGCTGCCAATGCGTTTATGCACATGCACCTTGTACAGGCTGTTCCTGTCTATTGAAAACTGGATTTTCTCCTCAGAAATTGGAAGACTGGTGATTAGGCAGTTTAGATGATCTATATCGTTATAGAAGTATCATTAAACTTTTGATTAAGGAATGCTTTTCTCCTAAAGTTAAAGGAATCAAAGTTAAATTGGTTATAAAAAATAAATTTATTGTGAAAACATTTCAGAATATAAGCCAACTATGTGCTGATTTTCTGTAGGATGAGGGAATGGACTGTGTTTTCTAAAAGGCCTTCTTCTAACAGGTTATTTCACAGTTGTCTGTTAAGGCATTTGATAAATCCTACTCTGATGCTTTTTGCACAGTAACACTAATGTCTGATGTGGTATGGCAGCCTCTTTTTTCTGCTGTATATCCATATTATCTTCCCCCCCCCCCCAAACCTATTTCTTTTAAAAGAGTTATTTCCAGAATCTTCTCAGCTTTTCCTTCTGAACATTGATTCTGCCTACCTTTCCTGTCGAAAGTATTCCTGCAACCTGTGTCTTATTTATCTTGAACTGCACGGTGTTCAAGTTGTCTATGTTTACAAAGCCTCTTGTGAATTTATGATATTATTTATTTGAGGACGACCTGCTGATTTTCTGTTTGGTTTAGACTCTGTATCTGCTTACCTATACAAAACTTTTTGATACGTTCATTCTCTTTGCTACGGGTCTGGCTGTTATCTCTCTTAAGTAAATATAAGGGAGCTTGACTGTCCTCTTCCCTGATCGAAACATATGGATTAACCTTGCTTATGTTGCAGGTGTATTCATTGTTTCAGCGAAGCGAACTCCCTTCGGGGCCTATGGAGGGTTGCTCAAAGACCTCACGGCCATAGATCTGGCAGAGCATGCTGCCCGAGCTGCACTGGTGGCTGGCAAGGTCTCTCCTGAGATCGTTGACAGTGTCATTGTTGGCAATGTCATGCAGGTTGGTAGCATGGAAAATTTGCTGGTTGCTGATTATTTCAGTCATCTACTTCAGTATGATTCTATAGATAGTCACCCCTGTTTTGCAGACAGAAATAAATCAAAGGCATGAAAATGGAATGAATAAGCATTCATAGTGTAGTGTTTCCTGTTCATATTTAAGGGACTTGCCTTACTCGATTTGTGACATTACTGGGAGCAAGACTTATCTTACTTTTTTAGTACCACAAAGCTAGTTCAAAGTAGGACAAGCTGATCTTCTCTAAAATGTGGATTCAATAAGCGCTGAGTGGCTAGTCCTTGGTACGTTTTTCCTATTTTAATGACCTGAGCTGCATGACATAATGAATAGTGAGTTTTCACTGGGTTATATAAAGCCTCTTCTTTCTGGAGACAGCTGGTTTGAGCCCGTTTCCCTTGAGTTTTCTCTATATGGTTTTGGGGTTTTTTTTTTTAAGTGAATATAATTTTACTGCAATCCGTAAAGATACATGTCTTGACTGGCAGAAGCATTTGGAAAATTGTATCTTTTCCAAAGAGCTTGTGATGTAGATGCAATTGTATGCAGTGTGTCAGCACTGCAAAACTGCAGTTATCCACATACCTAGATCAGCGCCTTTGCTTTAGGCAAGGAAGCGAAGAGTGTTTTTTGATTTTATTTTGTTTTCCGACTTCACCATGTTGGGCGCTAAGACGTTGCTTGCAGTTTTGACTGTTTCAGGGGTGCAGAAGAAACAAATTACTGAGAACTTTCACAATGCATGAACAAACATGCTATGTTCCTTCTTAAGAACTTTCAGCCCAAAAGGTAGCTTTGGATTCTTTTGGGTTTTTCTGCAGGTACCAGCTGAGCTTCGTTTATTCAGCTTTTTTTTTTTTTTTTTATAAGACTTGTTTGTGGTCTAGAATAGCAGACAACCTGCTGCGTTCAGATCTCATCTAATGTTTTCACATAAAGAATAGCATTCTGCTAATAAAAACATCTTTTCACATTGAGATTAAATTTATTTTCCCTTACTTCATCCCTCCCTCCTCCACCCTAGTAGATTTTCTTTTCTTAGACCTGTACTCCTTTTAAGTATTATTTGATTAAGTATAAATAACTCTGAATGTGTGACCATTTTAAATCCCCCTTCTTCAGTGGAATTGGATTGATTGCACTTTTCTTCTGAACTTGCATTGTCAGGTGGCTTTGTGCTTAGAACTATGTCTTAATAATACATATTAGCTTAGGACTGTTCTTTCTGTTGGCAAGATCCAAAGATCTATGGAAAAGATCCATAACAAACCTTTAGCAGAGTTATTTTACAGTCTTGTACCTGTACTCTAGTCAATCATCTGCTGACTCAGTAGTTGGAGTGCAGCTGCCTAATCACTTTTGTTTCGTCTCATGATGAGTCGTGGTTTATTAAAAAAATGGATCTAAAACAGACTGGTCTGTGTATGGTACAAATAGAAGTGCGATGTAACCATGTATGAAAAGTTTTGGAGGATTGAGATTTCACTGTTAGAACAGATCCGTATGCATTAAAATGTCACACATACAGAATTTTGCAAAGTGGATATGAAGCAGTAGTGGCATCTTTCCACATTGACTGTTTTTTGAGGGCCCTATCCCTGTTAACCTGAAGAATTTCAATTTACGTTGAGGTAACGGTTAGTTGCCATTACAAGTCTGGTCTTTTGTCAGCCCGCTGTGTGTAAGCTGATTTGAAGTGAAGGGATAAGGGAAAGTGTAAGACACAATGTATTAAGTCACTGACTTTAAAGTCTTAACATCTGCAGTACCGTTTTCAGCATGATGTTTTGCTCTTATGACAGTTGCTTTCAAATGCATGTTCAGACATTGGCCTTTGATCATATACGAAAGTGTTTTTTGAAATGAGTCAAAATGCTGCTTATGAGTAGTAGAAGTTCTATTGAACAGAGAGCTGTCTTCTATCAGTGATTCAATTACAACGTTCAAACTTTTGATCAAAACTTTTACTTTCCAAAGAAATAAGAGCGTAACAAAAACTCCCGTTTGTTCTGTCTGCAGAGCTCCGTAGATGCTATTTATATTGCAAGACATGTTGGTTTACGTGTGGGAATTCCTGTCCCAGTTCCAGCCCTCACTATCAGCAGACTCTGTGGCTCTGGTTTCCAGTCCATTGTCAATGGATGTCAGGTAGAAAGCCCTTTCTTTCTGTATTTCTGCATTAGCGTTAACCTTTATCAGATTGTTAACATGAGAGGAGAGACTTGTTTGGAAACATACAGTGTGTGTTTGGGTGAGTATTATTATGGATTTTTAGTTACCACTGCTTGAGGCTTCCTGTTGTCTTCTGTGGTTGTGTGCAACAGTTCAGCCAGCACAGCACTGTTTTTGTGGATGGTTTGAAAATCATCACTGAAGTTATTTTGAATTTAATTGAAGGAATGCACTAAGTGTTAACTCGGCTGTGCAGTAGTTGCATTCTGTGATCCTGTTTGTATGAGTAGAAATTATTGGGTGTCAGAACCATTACCGGAGTTTATTTTTTGCCCATTGTTTATTTCCTCATGTAGCTAGTAAGCAGCAACCTGTGCTTATTAAGTATTGTTTTGTTCAAAGATCCAAAGCCTCTCATGAGTTAGATAATGTATAGCACCACTGCTTTTAAAATAGAAGAAAACCAACTTCTCTTTGAAAAGAGAATCTAAATAGGTGGCCAAAATCACTGAGTTAAGATTAATGGAGAACCAATTAATGGCTAGAAGTCAAATCTGATGACTCACATTCTCTTTATTTCTGCTGAACTAGTCAACACCTCTATCAAACGTGGAATTTGTGGCAAAATTTTAATGTGTGCTTTAGAAGTTTCTTGGCATGTCCTTTACCAAATACCTAAGGGTTTTTTTAGCTTTGTTTATTCCATTCTTGCAATAAGTACAGATGACTTGTTAAGTATTCTTGCAATCAAATCTCATTGTTCCTTTTGTCAGAAAAAACATTTTTTCTGCTTAGAAAAGCTGATGTGAGCTGTTGCTGCTGCTCATAGAGAAGTGCTGCTCTTGTCTTTTATTTTCATCACAATTTTTACTATCTGCCAAATCAAAAATAGCTTTTTTTCCTATCCTTCAGAAAAGAAGCAACACACTTTTATTCAAGTAGCAATCAGTCATTACAACGGTACAGTGATTTTCGTTTGATTTGTTTGATTGGTCAAGGAGGAAAGAGACTTTACAAAATGAAAGTGAATTTTATAAACATTTGAGCAACCACATAGTTTAAAAAAAAAAAAAATCCTGTTAGCTGGGAAATTATTTCAGATCTAATCCTCTAGAGAGAGAAATGTGGAAGACAATGCAGAGTTAAGGTTACAGGTGTACAATATTATTCACCTGACTGTTCTTTCTAATGCTCTCTGGAAAATCTACACACACAAGAAGAGTTAGTCTACACTAAAAAAAAAAAAAAATCTGTTGGAGATTTTTGACCACTTACATTGAAAGAGTGGTCATAAGGTCTCTTCCAAATATGGCATTTCTTCAATATAGCTAATATTTCTGTATTTTTCTGGCACATGACAAAACTGCAGAGTCTCCTGGAACTGCAGAAATATGCGTAAGGGTTTTAGTAGCTAGAGAAAGCATCTCAACACAAATCACTACAGACCAATCATAGCAGCTATTAAGAAATAGTAAATATTAACTAGTTTTTAAATATTAACTAAAATTTACTATTTAGTAAATATTAACTAGTCGTCTCGTGCGTATCAAGATAATTGTCAGCTTCCATTTCAGCACAGAAATATTCTTTGTTGTCCAGCTAAATGAATTATTTTAAGGAAGCAGTATTTTGGATGGTCAGGGCATATTTTTAGGGGATAAGGCTATGCCAATGATGAATTTGTGTGTGTGGGGGGGGGTTAATTATTTGGGTTTTGGCAATTTGCCTGGCTAATATTTTCTAAAACAATGTCTTTTTTTTTTTTGAATCATAGGGCCTAGTTTCACATTTTGGGGTTTGATTTCTATTCCTTCTGAGAGGATTGGAGGTGGAGAGGCAATAGTTTTTTGTTGTTGGTGGTTTTTTTTAAAAAGAGTTGCTTTGGTTTTGTGGTACTATATTTTAAAAAATCACGCCAAACATCTTTTGACCTAAGTATACAAGCACGGCAATGCTTAATGGCTTTGTTCCTCAGTCTTGTCCTAGGCATGCACCCGTATTCTCTTCCTCCCCTCACTGGTATAATCCTACCGCATTGACAGGTCAGTGAATGAGCACATAATGAAAGTGGCAGACCCCACTCTTAATAAAGGGTTAAACGGTTCATGAATATACACATAAATAATCATGAATTCATTCTGTATGTGGCTTTGTAGGTGACACAGTACTTTTCTAAAGTAGTTGCTATTGTCTTAGGAAAACAGCAAATTAAATCCTAGATCTGCTTTGTTTTTATGTTAACAGGAAATTTGCCTTAATGACTCAGAAGTGGTTCTGTGTGGTGGAGCTGAAAATATGAGCCAATCTCCTTACGCTGTTCGAAACATTCGATTTGGAACCAAATTAGGAGCAGATTTGAAGGTTTAATACTATCCTTTTTTCCTGTGAACAGTGTTGTGTTTACAGAACAACAGAAAGTATTAGGCGCATAGACACTGTAGTCTTGCAAGTGAAATCATTGGAGAATAGATCCAAATTCAGTTGTTCAAAGCATTTATCGAGTATTCAGACATTAACAAAACAGTCAGGTAATTTTTGTTAAGAATGCCAGTTTTCTAACTTTTCCAAAACTGTATATGAATTCCTGAAAACTGTATTTGAATTCCTCTCCCATGTTAAATGTAGCAGTGAACTCTTACATAACAAAACTTTGTTCACTTGGTATAATCCATCAAAGTACCGTATACGTGATATATAAAAACTTTTCTATTGTCAGAGTTTGTGAACTAGAGATGCATAAAGAGTTTAGGGAAAGCTAGTAAGGCTAGCAATGGAGAGGTAGACTGATAGAGAACACGCATGCCTCCAAGTTGTAAGCATCTTTCAATATAAAAATGAAAAATTGAAGTTAAATCTATTGACAGAAGAAATTATTAAAATAATTTATGAAGATGAATTTTCAGAGAATACAGTGGAAAATTTGCAGCAGGGAGCACTTCTGCTCTGATAATTACTGTTTACTCAGCAAGCCTTAACCAAATCAAAATCTTAAATCAGAAATTTTCAATATTTCAGCTTTTTTTTTTTCTCTGCACTGTTTTTTACACTATGAAGTATGCTTGATGGTCCTTCCTGCGAATCCTATGTGGCACTGTGACTAAGCCTCAGTTCTTGCAGAAAGCCCCTTCACAAAGTTGCTAATCACACTGAGTCTCCACAGGTGCCACTAGATCCTTATCATGAAGATAATTAAATTGCACAGTTACAGATGGAAGAGTGATTTATCTTGCAGAACTTTACTTGTGACAGAGAGATGAGAAAACCTAGCTGGACTACCTGGACTTGCCTTTATTAGGTTAATTGAAGTTAAGCTTAGGTATTTTCTCACCTGAGATCTTTTACCCACAGAAAGCTTTAATAGCAGGTAAAATCTCCACCGTACTTGAGTTAGAGAGCCAAAGACTCAATAAGATGCTGTGCCTTTTCACAGTTCCTCACTTTTCCTTCTTGGTACCAAAGACAGATACGTTTTCTCATAGCTCTCTAGTAAGTAATTCATGTATCAGTAAAATACACTGGAATACTAAAAATCACAGGCTTTTCCCGAACCTGTCAGGGCCACATATGAGTGAAAGGAGCTGCACTAGAACAGAGTAACTAAAATAAAGCGCAAGAGTTTGCATGCTCTTTTGCATTGTATTTGTTCTAATTTAAGTAAAGTATCTGTAGGCAACTCGAGTTAATTTTGCAAAGTGACGCTAGCTTCCAAGAGTCTAGTGAATAATTAAAAACTATTAATGTTAAAATTGCTCTGCAATAATAATTTTCTTTTAATTATGTTCCATGCAGTTGGAAGACACGTTGTGGGCAAGTCTAACTGACACGCATGTTAAAATACCTATGGCAGTTACAGCTGAAAATCTGGCTGTAAAATACAACATCACACGAGAGGACTGTGACCGATATGCAGTCAAAACGCAACAGAGGTGCAAAGCCGGTTAGTAAATCTAGGAGTGGAAGTACTTTGCTTATATGGTATCAATTTCAAATCTAGTCAGCTTAACAGCATCAGTTCAAAGTGGTTTTAAGTTGTGTATAGCTCCTGCATTGCTTGATGATTTTTGTAGTTTCAAAATCCTTTCATGCGTGAGTGGTCTTTTACCTTTTCTGTATAAAGCACACAACTGTAGACAGCAAAGGGCTTTAAGATGGTAGTAGCAGTGCCACATTAGAGGTCTGTTCTTTAGATCCTTGACCAAACTGAGCTCTGTCGGTGGTGTGAAGGCAAGAAGCCGTAACGTGCTTCTAAACTGGTTGTTTGAGGGGTTATTTAAAGCAGTGGACGATAAAACATGAACGGATTTTTCTTTTTTAGTTTTAATGTAATTAAATGATTTTATTCAATAAATTTACTGGGTTTTGTGATAACAGCAACTATTGCTGTAAAGCCTCTGGCATGCCTTTTCTTTGTATTTAGTGGACGTATACCTGTAACAATTCTAACCTGTGTTCCTGCTGTTCTGTAACTGACTGTTGTCAGTTGTTGTTTGATCTCCATTTCAGTTTTTCAGACCGTAACATTAGAATCATTTTCTATATTTGGAAATTTTGGGAAGTATAACTCAAGGTCAGTAACAAGACCTCTAGTGGATGAAGCTTTTGGAAGTATTAACATTCATTACAGTTTTCCGCACTACAGTATATGCTATCTTAATCGCTTTACCCTATAAGAGTATATTCCCTTTGTTCTGCCCAAATAGGAGCGTTCACCTGTTTGGTGGTAGTTGTATGTTGCTGGTAGGTGTGGTGCCAGGCTCTTATGTAAGAAGAGGTTAGTGTTGTTCCCGCTGATTGACTCAATGAGTCAAAGAGCCCAGCTACCTTCCACATAGAGGTGTAACACACTATTCATGTGCCATAAGGCCTGCATATAAAAGGTAGAGGAAGGCAGGGCAAACCATTGTGCTGCTTTAAAAAAAAAAAGAAAAGGAAAGGAAAAAAAAAATAGTAACTTCTCCTTTTCAGCCAGACAAAACTGTATTTTGTTTTGAATGTAAATGGGTAGACTCCAAGAGCAGAATCACTTAGAACTGCTGTGCTGCTGTAAAGGGTAGATTTACTCTGAAGCCCGCATAGTTTTTTGCAGAATCAGGTTCCTTACTGTGTAAAAACAAGCAAACAAAAAAATACAACCTAACAAAAGACTTTCATGACTTTCAGTTATTACATAAATTGAATGGAAGTTCCGCAGGTTAAAAACTTACAGGTTATTAAGTGCCATTCTCTTCCTTCACAGAATCTAGCCAGTGAAGATTTTTCCGGTTTTGCACAGTCTACTGAGGAGCAAAATTTGGTCTTCAGCCATAGAAATAGGGTATTTTGCAGAATCTTTCTCTATTTTCCGAATAAAGAGATATAAAAATGCAAAAATATGTATAAGTATCATTCATCTGAAACACACACCAAAAAAAGTTCCAAAGTTGTTCTTTATATGCAGGCAAATCCATATTGGATGGTCTAGCTAATGTTGTTCTGTTTTACTGGCTGTATTGATCATTAATAATTTGTTTACAAAAATGTTATAAGCACAGCACACTAAAGTGATTCACTTTGAAGCTTTTCTGTTGAGAACACGAGTGTGTGTTTACCTGGGAAAAGCCCCTGAAAGATCGAAGAAGTAATGTAACTTTACTCATGAAAAATAATATTGCTAGCTATAACCTCCTAGTGTCATTTGCCTTTTGATATGAGGGTGCTCCAATTCATGCATCTTATGTTTGCCCTGTGATACAAGTCACCCAGTCTAAGGGGGTTAGAGCTTTTGAATTCTGAAAACAATTTCAGATGGCTGTAATACCAATGTTGTATTTTTGTATTGTAATCCTGCATTTGTATAGTCATGTAAGTTCACCAAGAGACAAAAGGTTTTCTTCCACTGCTGTGAACTCATGGCAGTGCTTACCAACAGTCCGGTGAAGACAGATTCTGACTCTTAGAAAGATTTTGGTCAGTTCTGTTTATAAGATTGTCTAGCATTTTGCTTTCAGAAGCAGATGTTATGCTATTTCAGTCTTACAGGATCTGTAAACTTTGGTTAGCCAAATGAGCTTTCTTCATATACTAATCTGTAAAATTAGAAGCAAGACTTTTATTTTTTTTTAATCTCCCAATTTCTGCATCCATACTTTCATAGAAAGGCCAACTTATTTACCTGTTTGTCCTTTTTTTTTTTTTTTTTAATTGGGGGGCAGAGGAGAGGGGGATGGGAATATATATTTTAAAAATCTGTGAGTATCTTGAACATTAGAGCAGGTGGTATATGAAGAGGGGTTATTTGTTCAGGACCTTGTCTTTAAACTGTTCCGTGGAAGGTTTCCATGGACAAAGCCATAATTCAGAGGCATTAGGTTACTGTGACATTGACTGATAGTGTAAACAGAATGGTAGGTCAAAAGCCAGTAGAACATCTAGTGCCTTCCTGGGACTTCAACATATATCGCAGCCCAAAGGTGACCACAAGAAGCAAGGATCTAGGTATATCTTTAGACTATAATAATGGTGCTTTTTAACAGCTGCTGCTCTCCAAGGTGGATTTTATGTTTTTTCGGTGGGTACAGTAGTGCTGCTAGTAACTTTTATTAATCACCTATGAATCTGTTGCTTCCGCTGCTGATCTTGATAGCTAACTCCTGCCGTTGGTGGGGCCTTGGCTAGAAACAAGGCCACTGAAGAGGCTTTTGCTCCTTCCTTGTTTTGTGTTTGATTGCTAGGGTTTTGTTTTGCTGCTTTCATTTTCTACTTGTTATGACTGGTGCGTCTTATCCCACGCTAAGGACAGGATCTTGGGGCTTGTCAGGGAAACAAAAAAATTGTGTAGCACTCGCAATAAAAGCTCAGAGGCAGCTAAATAACAGCAGACAAGGCAGTTTCAGTGTCTTAGTTTTACATCCCTTAGACCTAAATCTGTGGGATGATTTGAAGGGGCTGGTAGTCCTGCTGCAGTTTTGTGAGAAGGGATTTTGGCTTTTAAACTGAAGCGTTCACATCAACACTGTGGACACAAAAGGTAGGGTTTGGTTGCCTGAATATTGGCATCTACTGTCACGTTGGGTGCTGTGGCTGGATACTCTTATGGGCATCTTAGATACCTACAGTGTCTTGAATTGTCTCGGGCTGTTTAGGCAGCTGAATCCCGTTCTAAGATCCTGACTGGAGTGCCAGACCCTTTGGAGGAGCAGCTTGGCCTGGATTTTAGTTGATATACAGTAGCTTATGCCAGTTATCAGTAGAGAAGATGTGACTCGGTATTTTTTTTTTTTCCCTTCCTGTCTGAGTGAGATTGCTAGCTTCTTGGCCCTTGGATAAACTACAGAGCAGTAGAATAAAGCAAAAGTACAGGGGGCCTGTAGCAAAAATAAATCTAGTGGTTTAAAAAAAAGTTCAGTTATTTAAACTTGAAATAACTCTGTAATATTAGAGACTTTCTTTGAAGAAATTTGAGACTGGTTGTGTATAGTTTATGCCCGGTTTCTAAAAAACAAACAAACAGTAAAACCCCAGCCAGCCTATTGAAACAGAACAAAGCATAAACAGAACTGTTCCTCAACTCCTGGTTCAAATGGAGTGGAAGTTGTGTGTACCCGAAAATGGGATTATTGGTCATGCTGGGCAATCTGTTACTATTTTTATCACAGGTCTTTTATTTTCCTTTTTGTGGTTGTAGCTTATGATGCTGGTTACTTTAATGCTGAGATGGCACCAGTTGAAGTGAAAACAAAAAAAGGGAAAGAAAGTATGCAAAAGGATGAGCACCCAAAACCCCAGACTACGCTGGAACAATTGGCAAAGCTCCCACCTGTCTTTAAGAAGGATGGAACGGTCACTGCTGGGAATGCTTCAGTGAGTACGTCAGTGTCTTGGATTGTGAAGGCCTTACCTCTAAGGTTCTCCAGGCTTGTTAGTACTGTATTTCTCCCTTACTGAGCCGTCTTTGGCTGTCAGAGTTGTCTTCTGCCAACAGTGATTTCTAATTCTGTGGTTCTGTTCCGGCCCCTGGATGGTAAGGGATCCTTCAGTCTGCTCCTGTGTCCTAAAATATGGTTCTTTGTAGTGTCGCTGTCCTTTTGCCAAGGCATCCATGAAAGTATGTGGCTGATATCTGCCATGGCTGTGTATAACTCTGCTGGAATTAGCTGTTCTTGTTTCCTTTAGGCGTAAAGGTTACTTAACACTTGCTTCACAAATCGTGTATGTGATTACTGGGCATATTGCTGCTTGACTTTGTACTACAATCGGTATCCTCTGTAGTCCGAAATACATTTTGCTTTTACTCAGAGTAGACTGGGAGTTTAGCAGCACATCATTAGGGGCTGTTCCTCTTACAGACATTACCTCAAATCAATTGATTGATGGGTTTTGAGTCAGAAGGACCTCTGAATTCCTGCATAAAATAGATCATAGCCACAGAAAGTATAGGTGTCTGAAAAGTAGCTTTTGTAATTAAAAGGATGTATTTTATTCAATATTAATAGTGTCCCTGCAAGTCTGCAGAATGATGTTTCCAGTGCAAGGGAGACTTTAGGTGGCAAGAAACGTGCTTTACTTTTGTAAAACATTTGGAATTTAATTAAACATCTTTGTTTACCTTTGTTTCAGTCCACAGGATAGCGGAAGATTGTGGTTTATTGTCTTGATAAACTAATACAATTGTATGTTAAAAGTTAATACCGACTTCTTGGACCGAGTTTTTCTAAGAGGGGCATATTTAGTTTGAAGTGTTTTTTTTTCCACTAAGAATGCTTTTCTCTTTTATTCTAAGGGTGTGTGTGATGGCGCTGGAGCGGTCGTCATTGCCAGTGAATCAGCACTTACAAAGCACAGTCTTACTCCACTGGCGAGAGTAGTAGCTTATCACTCATCTGGCTGCGACCCTACCATAATGGGCATTGGTAAGCTGCAATAAAGCACGTTTTGTAAAGTAACGTTAGAATATTCTTGTATTGGGCATTATAAGGGCAAGAGAGGGAAGCTGCAGTGTGCTGAGTTCAGTAGCTCCGAGAGAGAAGTTTGTGTTGCTTACTATGGATAGATTGTTCTTCTTACTGTATCGGTCTGTCGCTTTTACCACAGAGCACTACTTGGCAATTTGGCTTAAAGGGTATGTGCGGTGCCTGAGGTATAGCATTAACACTGAACTACACTCCTTGCCATACTCCCCTCTGATTTTTTTTTTTTTTTCTCCTTACCCTCTCTAGGAGCTCTCCCAACCTTTTTAAAAATCTATTTACTCCTGCAATTCACCTTCGTTTCCCAGAAGCTTTAAATCCCATTATTATGTGTATAGCTGTGAGTTGTCTTTCTGACTTCTTGCTGAAGCAGTATTGGCTATGTGTATCCCTTTCAGCCGTTACTCAGTTGCTCAGGGTAAGAATGGATTCCAGTAAACAGCTTCTGTTGAGGTTTCATTTTGGAAGACCAAGTGCTTTTTTTGTTAGTCCCATATTTTACACTTTCCAATCAGGCAGCTGTTAAGTGCAAATGAACCCTCAAAGCTGATCCAGACACCCCAGGATTTTTTCCCTATTTTCAGTTTGTAGACAGCATTGTATACCAGCTCTCTCTCTTTCTCTGCTGCCACTGTTCAGAATAGTGATTGTTGGCTGGTTTCATGTGTCAGTAGAAACGCAAATGAAGCATTGTCGGATTTGCTTTCTTGTTCAGGCAATCCTACTAACCCAACCTTTAAAGCAAATGTTGAGGGAGGGTTTCTTTCGCTAGACTTCATGCTTCCATTGTGCTTTCCAAACTAGCCCATTCTCTCTAGGTCAGGCAACTCTTTTAGCCTGTTTAAAAACTTCATAAATCATATGGAGAAACTGTTAGTATCCTAACTCTTAAACGCCACAGCTTGTCTGCAGCTACTCAGAAAGACCAAATGAGATTCATAGACATGACAGAAACAGATCTGAGAATAGAGGAGCTCGGACTGAGCGACTGCCCTGTCACATACTGATAGTGTTAGGGAGTCCTGCCTCGCAGTGTCTAGTGAGAGAATGCATTATCCTAAAAAAAAAAAACTTCTTGGCTGCTCTTAATGGTCTGTATATTGTCTACATGAGATCCTCCCATTAGTCTCACACATAAAGACATGCTAAAATCAGTGTATAATAAGATGTATTAAGGGTCTAGCAGTAAGCCTGTATCTTTCTAATGATCCACTGAGCGTTGAATTGGGCCCTTTATCTTTCAATTTTTGTCTCTTTGGTCGCTTACTTGTTTTTATTCTTTTCATTCTTTGACCTATGAGTTGTCCACACCATTTTTTGGTACTGAGATGCTTGAATAGCATTTTAGGATTGTTTTTTGTTTGTCTTATGATCAGCTCGTATCTAACGTAATGATATCTTTATCCTGCAAGCGCAGATCTAATTAGCCATTTCAAATTCTCTTTGAGTATCTCTTTCCTTAGGTAGCTCTGCTTTGAGAATAATCTCCTCTAATGAATTAGATAAGTTCGTCGATGTCAGCTTTCTTCAAGAGAATGATTTTATTACCAAAGTCTCCAAAAAATGTTACTGACTTCAGTTGATTGGTTTGACTTGGGTCCAAGGAATTTATTTGTTTATTTTTTTTTAGCTCAAAGATTTACAGGTAAGTTGTGTTTAGAACACCGGAACAGCAATACCCATAAGGTGAACATACTCCACCAAACTCCAGAAATCCTGCCTTTTGGTTTTTATTTTGTTTGTCTGGAGGCAGCAAGCGATAGAGGCCGAGGCAAGGACTGCTGGAGAGGAGAGTATCTCAGAAGAGTCTTGAGATTGTTTTGACTTGTCAGTCCTCTTGACCTGAAAGTTATACGTGTGTTTACTAGCATAGCTGTGCAGCAGTAATGACGCTCCTAACTCTCCCTGGCAGTGTGTGGAGGAAGCTGCCAATTGGTTAGTTCTGAGATTTAAGAGTTTTCTTACCCCCTAATAAAGCAGGTGAGCGGCATATCTGGAGTTCGTTGGCTCAGTCGGGGGTCATGAGTTAGGTCATCTGATGAGAATTTGTAGGGCTGTCCCATGAATAACATTTTTAAAAGCCTTTTTCTTTTTTTATTAACTGTGCATACAATTCCCGAATAGGCCCTGTACCTGCAATTACTGAAGTCCTGAAGAAGGCAGGACTGACCCTGAAGGACATGGATTTGGTGGAGGTAAGGAGAGTAAAATGAACGTTGAGGCTCTACTGTTGGCCTTTTTAGCAGGAACATTCCACGTATTCGTGTAGCCTGTAATCATGAGGTAGGTGTTTCTGCATGCCTAGAGCCTGCTTGTCCCAACTCACCTCCCTGACCTCTGTCCAGCCAGTTTCTACTGTGCAGTTGCATGGGCGATACAAAGATCTGAAGCGCGTGGAAACTGAAAATTGTTTGATACCAAAACAAAAAATATCCTCAGGTGACATGAGGTTACTCTGTTGGCTTGATTGTTAATGTTTTGCTTAAGTTAGTTGAAACTCTCAGTTTGTGAACGATGCCCTTTTTTTGGCCAAAACAACAGGCTCTTCACAAACACATTGCATCAGAATATACCACACCTCTTTTTATAAAATATGCTACACATTTGCTTTGTATCACACGTGCCAGAAGGATTTGAACTTACAGTGGGTTGGAGTGGCAATTTATACGTTTCCTGAGAACACTTTTAAAAACACAGAATAGTGTGGTGTTTTTTTGTTTGTCTGTTTGCTTTTTTCCTCAAAGCATCCAGGAGAAGAAATGCGCCTCATTTAATCTTGAACGCACACATGCTGCTGAAAGCTGGTGTGGAAAGTCAAGCATGAACACTTGTATTGTTTCTGTGGTGTTTTAGGTGAATGAAGCATTTGCACCCCAGTATCTAGCAGTTGAAAAAGCTTTGGGCCTTGACCCTGAAAAAACCAATGTCAATGGAGGTGCCATCGCAATTGGTCATCCTCTGGGTGCTTCGGGATCGCGGATCACAGCTCATCTGGTTCATGAATTAAGGTGTGTCGCAGTTTTCCTACAGAAATATTTCAACATTAGTTCAGGCTTCGTAATATTTTTTCAAAAAATGAAGAATATATATATTTCAAAGCCTCATCTTTAATTTCACATTTAGAAAGTTGATAGCTAGTTGATAGGCTTTTTTATCTCCTTTCATAAAATTAGGAGAACAGCTACTATGGTTTTATAACTATACGTAACTTCCACTGTTACTTTTTCTGTGCAGGCGTCGTGGTGGGAAATATGCAGTTGGGTCAGCTTGCATTGGAGGTGGACAAGGTATTGCTCTCATCATTGAGAACACAGCCTGAGAGATTCCGGATGCTTCCAGAAGTGCACAGATTCATAATTCCCCAAAAAAGTATGCCTGTTACGAAGATAAATCATCACTACCTCCCTTCATTTCGTGCCATTCCTGCAAGGTGAAGGAATGATTGAGAAGTCTGATTTCTGGAAAAAAAAATTCAATAATGTCTCTCTAACTAAAGGAAGTGTAAAGCCAATATAATCTTACGGTGATGAAATATTTTCTAAAAACCTATTTTCAGTTAAAGTAAATGTATTTCTGTAGGCAAAATTCTTCTAATTTCCTGAGGAAAATGCCTGTCAATCTTTCACCGAACCTGCCTTAAAATAGCAGTACAGCTTTTTAAGCAAGTATTGCTTTAACTTTTCTTCTTTCAGCTACTTGTGCTGCCTGACATATATGTACCTCTTTTGTCACCAGGAAAGGTGAAAATTTAATTGGAGACCTTCTGAAGTATATACTGATTGTAGATTCATGGCTATAACTTGTACCCTGCTGTTTTGCAAGGGAAGAGGAAAACAGGAGAAAGCTAAATTTTCCATTGTGCCTCTCAAAAGAACAATAAATGTAACTGAAAAAAGAGCCTGCTGGTTTTCTTAAAAATGTGAATTACTGTGAGAATTGTTAGTCAACGTTTGTTATTTGAGATGCTGTTTTTCCTGGCTGAGGAATAACTGGTTTTTACTAGGTAATTTCTAGAGAACTCTGGCAAATCTGCTAGCCTTCCAAGAAGTGTATTGCATGCAACTCTAGTGCTATATGGTACAACTCATTTCTTAACTTCTTATAGTCTCACCCTTATCTCTTTGTTCCCATAATATGGGGAACAGATCCCATGTTAGAGCACGCTTCTCCACAGTCCGTACTGTGCTTCGTAGACTAGAATAGCGGCAAACACTTCAGTCTTTACCGTGATATCTTTTTCTTTTCCCTCCACCCCCGTCAAAATGTTGCTTCACTGCAGCTTGTTTCTGCCACTCCACTGGCATGAGCCAGTGATGATTGTGAAAGATGAGAGATCATTCAAAACCAGATTGTCTAGCTTTGCAAGAAATTCAGAGTATAGCAAGTATTGTGGATACTTGCTGAAGTATGCTGATATTTGTGGAGTTTCCTGTGGACACAGTGTATTTAGTGACTGTAGAGGCATTTAGCACTCTTTCTATGGGTTAAAAAACAACTTTCATAAAGCAACAAACCAGATGTTCATCTAACCAATTTTTTTTTCTCTTTCTACTTTATTTTCATAAGTTAGGGTTACCAGGGCTTCAGTATTCAAGTTACAGTTGCCACATGGCTTTTATAAAGCAGCACATTTTCTATTCTCAGTTACTTCCATCATAAGTTGGGCCTGTTTAGTCTGGAGAAGAGAAGACTGAGAGGCGATCTCATCAATGTGTACAAGTATCTGAAGGGAGGGTGTCGAGAGGATGGGGCCAGACTCTTCTCCGTGGTGCCCAGTGACAGGACAAGAGGCAACGGGCAGAAACTGAAACATAGGAAGTTCCATCTGAACCTGAGGAAAAACTTCTTCACTGTGAGGGTGACAGAGCACTGGAAGAGGTTGCCCAGAGAGGTGGTGGAGTCTCCTTCCCTGGAAATATTCAAAACCCGTCTGGACGTGATCCTTTGCAATGTGCTCTAGGTGACCCTGCTTGAGCAGGGAGGTTGGACTAGATGATCTCCAGAGGTCCCTTCCAACCTCAACCGTTCTGTGCTTCTGTGATAATAACTACGTAACATTCCCTTTGCCTATTTGACTGCTAATAATCGTTGAACTCACATTTTCAGAGATTTGTTCAGTTTTTCCAAGATCTCTTCCCTGAGTAGCAACAATTCTTTCAGAGCTCATCCTAGTGTAGGTGCAGTAAAGAATAATCCTTTTCATTTTGCACCTGATATTTTATTTTCCCCCTTTATCACTCGGTGTTTTGAGATGCACCTGTAATTCTAGCCATGAGAGTTGAATTTGATCATCCTGAATAACTGTGTATTTTCTGCAAAAAGCATCATGATGTTCATTCCATTTTCCAGACAGCTTATGAATGTGTTATTGGCACAGATGATTGCGGATCCTGCTAGTTACCTCTTCTTGCTGTGTAAGCCAACTGTTTATTCCCAAGACTATTCAATTTTAAATCCCATTCATTTTCTGTAAGAGCCTCTGATGAGGGACTTTGACAAACTAAAATGAAATAGTGAAGCTCCTTCTCTTGAAGTTAATGGGACTTAACATATTACGCTTCTAATCCATGTGACCACTGCTGCAGTTTTGAGGTTTTAAAGTTCAGTGTTTGCTTTGAGATGCCCAAAGCAAGGGAAATGAATAAATTTAGTGTCTTTCATTTTCCAAAGACCACAAGCTGTGGTCTCATGTCGCAACGTGTAGTGATCTCAATGCTCCCTCAAAAGGACAACTTCAGTCTGGTTAGGGAGAATGCAATGCCTTCTTCAGGTTTAAGGCTGACCTAGGTGTTCTGGTTAGGATGAGATGTGTGCGGGTTGTCCAAACGTGTGCTTCCCGGTTCCATTGTCCCTTTAACAGCTGGCTGCTTTGTGGAGACTGCTGCCAAAAGGAGCGCTTTGTCAGTGAAACTGTTACGGATTTGAGACCACTGGCAATCAGTCTGTATAGGCTACCACTCATCAAGGGAGCTATAACTTTGTCTCCAGTGAGAAGCCTTTTTTCTGAAAGGGTATATGGATGCTCTGGGTTTTGGGAGAATATAATGCATTCCTCTTCTGTAGTTAGTAATTTCACTTCTGAGGTTACGACGTGGTATTCCCTGAAGTGCAAAACCAGGTTCTGTGCTCGTTCTTGCACAAACTCTGTTTGCTGTGCTTCAGAGTGTTGTCTTTCACTTACCAAATTATCTTATGGATGAAGGTGAGCACAAGCATTGACATTTGATTCCTGATCCAGTCTTCCACAATGTATGGGGATCCTTGGCCCTGAGCATTTGGTCAGAGCCTGTCTTTACCAGTAAGTCCAATCACTTATAACAGAATAACGGTAATGCCTGACCCTTGTACGTCATTCCAAAGTACGTTCTTCTGTTTCCCAGATATAATAACGGCAGAATAGTGTTTCTGCCTTTGGGAAATGAAGACAGCTTGCTGACGCTAGTCTGGATTGGAGAAATTCAGCAATTTCCTGGAAGGAGCAGAAGATATGGAAGAAATGCCTTAGATTTAGGGGGAACACTTATTGGTTGATTGTACCAAGTTTGTACATTTTATTCAGAATCAGGTGTATTCTTTATTTTTGTATGAGTATCTGTATTATACGTTATAATGACAATGTTAGTTTTATATTTTCTGAAATAAGTGAGAACAGAAAACACTTGTAGATGTGCACAAGCACAGGGAATATTTTCTGTATTTACTCATAAACGTAGACACAACTTTCTACCACAGGGTGGTGCATTGTAAACACCTTACGGGTCTCACTGTGCTGCTAAGACATTTCTCCTCCATATAGTAGCTCTGCTTTTCTTCGAAGTAGGCCAGGTTAACTTTGCCTCTGCGCTATCAAAAATTTCAGGTCCTGTTTTTCCTTTTGTGAGTTTCGAACAGGCAGACAGGTGCCATGATGCCAGTTTTGCCGGTTTAACCCCCAGTGTCTTCAGTGCCACTTGCTTTCAAGTGAATTAGAAAGCATTTGCAGCTTTACGGAGTGGGTTCCAGCTGCAATCTGAGCAGACTTGGTCAATGAGATGGTGACTGAAGTGATGAACCTGGCAGAAGATGAAGAGAATAGATTATATGTTTTCTTTGTCTACAGAAATGAGTTATTAAACCTTAGCCCTAAGCAACTGTGTGTGAGAGAGAGGGAGAATGTGTGGCGACCTGATGGAGGCAGACTGCTCTGTTGCACTCGTTCCCAGATTACAAATAAGCAATTCTGTTTTGCTGCTGGTGGAACACCTAATAATTGAGATGTGGCGCTGTGTAATGCTTCTTAAAAAAAAATCAGTCTTGAAGCTCCTAAAAGGCATAACTTCAGGCAAATCTTACCTCATTGTGACTCTATCTGTGACAAGCTCTTCCTCGGTCCTTGTACCCGACGCTCTCCATCTGACGCGATGCTGTTAAGCTGGGCAGGGCTCCTAGCAGAGCCCGTGCTGCCTGACTGGGTCAGCCGGCTGCTGCACAGGGCGGAGGGGGATTGGAGGGGAAACTCATCCTCTTGAGAGATCACAAGCTCAGGGTTGAACAGCAGGGAGGCAGTTTCCCCGCTTCTGATAGCTCCAAGGGACTGGTGCTAGTGATGTCTTTATTAGCTTAAGTACTTGTACATGCAAAACTGAACTGAAAGCAGCAGGTAGATTGGAGCCTGACTGTTTGAAACACATATGCGATTCATGGGTATAGTTTTATAATGGATAGGAAGTGTTTCTCATGGAAGATGAGTTAAGAAGATGGACGGGTAACCTCTTTTTTAACATAGTTAAGGCTGCTGTTTGCTAACAAATCCAAGCTGTAGGGCTAGTCGTGCCGGATCAAAATGCTGTAGCCATAGGACACGTGGGTCAGATCAGGCATAAAATCAAATCCACAGTTTTTTGAACATGTCAGTATGATTTAGGGGTTTTATTACTGGTTGATGCCTGATGTCCTATGAAAAAAGTTTATTCTTCCTGTTACTTATTAATCAGTTAATGGAGCTTGGAAACGTTGTCTGACTACATCTCCAAGCAAAACTCACCCTAGGAGTTTTGCTATGTATGATCTTGGCGCTGGCAGCAAGCTGGAGCTCGGAATTTTTATAGAGTTAGATTCTTCAACAAATTCTTCCCGGTACTGTATCCAAACATGTTTCTTCAGTGTTAAGTTTACATGTCTTCTTACTTTACTTGTTTTCTCTAAGCAATATATTTATTGTAGCCAGGCAGAAAAACAAAAAAAAAATCTTAATCTCGCTACAAATATTTAGTTCTATATAAGACACTGCACCAAAAAAACTACATAATAAAATCTTTTTTTTTTTTTGCTTGTAAAAATATTTTACACTGTAATGCTTTTTCCTCGGCTGTGGTTATTTGTAAATAGAGAATTTTCAGGTCTTGGAAAGGAATTTGCAGTCTAGAAAGAAAGTGAAGCAGGAGACCATGTAATTCAAACACAGAAGATAAAATTTAAGAGATGGCAGAGCACTGAGAAGTCATGTTTACTGCTCACTTGATCATTAAATTGTCCATTAAACAAATCATATTTTCAGGAGTTAGATTTATACTCTTTTTAAGACAGTTTATACTCACCAGACTCCAGAAACTTTTAAATCATATGTTGAGAGTAATAATAACAGTGTGAGATTTAGCAAATCTGAAGTGAGTAAACCAGAGCAAATGGTTAAAATTTGACTGATTTGGTCAAGAGCATGTAAGGTAGTGCTAGACTAAAAGCAGATCCCAGCAGCTGTGTCTACTTTTACCCCAACAGTGGCAAATACCAGTCTTTAAATATCTTCAGATTCAGGGGAAGATAGTAAAGAAGGGATTAGGTGCTAGATTAAAGTGGAGGGGAAGGCCAAGCATAGACATGAACCAAAAACTCAGGGGTGGGTGTTGAACACAGAACAA